ATTTAACAGAGAAAACTAATCTGCTTACTTCTGAGGGATTTGCCTGAAAATGTAGAATAACCAAGAGGCATTATGTAAAAAACAAAACAAAAAAAAAAAACAGATTTTTTCTCAGAAAAAAAAAACAGAACACATAAATACTTTATTGTTTACGTAAGTTGTGGGCTGGCAGTATTCCGTACACACTGCCCATCCTGCCCAGAAAGAAATGGCTGGCCAGTATGGACATTCATCTGATTTTACGCACAAGTCCACACTCTATCATGTATTTTGTACAAATGCTGATTTATAGTATTCAAAAACAAGATGGCATAAAAAAATGTTTACTTTGGCTTTGGATTATTGAAACTTCCACACACTGATCCATGCTGGTATTAACAACAAATCTTTTGTTTTAAAATATGATTCAGTAGTAAATGTCTCCCATACGGAATACTGTCATGTCTCGCTAGTAAGTAACTGTGAGTCAAAATAAGTTGTTTTTTGACTTCTTAAACAAAAAGCACAACAAGGCATCATAACCACTGTCATGATAAATACACTAGACATTAGACAGCCAAATCTGTGAAAAAGTAAGAATATTACAACATGTCAAAGCAACAAATTGTCTCAAAAGTGTTGCCCAAAGTGAGCATCTAGAAACCATTAGAGGGTGCTAGTTATACATTGTATCACACAATAATCAAGCTGCACTGTTCACGTTTGAGTATTTTGGACACAGATCTGGGAGCACAGTGGCAATATTTGCAGTTATGTAATAACACATTTCAATGTGTCTGTAGTTCATTTGAATTGTTTTTTTTTTCAAGATAGTTCACAACACATAGCATTGAAACATCAACAAAACCTTACATGCATAATTTCTAAAAAAGTCCAAAGTAATATGGCTCAGAATACTTTCATGTGGTGCATGGATAATCCTAATGTAACATGGGATTATTGTACAGCATTCAGCGTGATTAAAATGCCTTGTTGGGGTATTATGAACTTAAAACATCATGAAAGGCAAACTTAATATCATATACCTGGCTCAGTTTAAAAGATTTCCCTGGAAGTTGTACAGTGCAATAAAGCTTTGGAATATCAAACATTTGTGATGAATTAGCTGCTGTCTATACTCATTATTGCCAGGTTGTTCCACTGATTTTGAAGAAGTCAGAGCCTTTCAAGGCACTGGGTTGAATTTAAAATGTTTTTAGCAATGCCCATTACTTGTAAGGTGCAATGTGCTTCCGCTTTTTGATACATTTTTCCAATAATTTAGTCGTAGAAGGAGAGGATTTTTGTTACCCATTTGTACATTGATCTGCTGTAATTACTACAGGAAATGTAGACAAAGAAATAATAACAAATGTAGCTGTGGATGCTGGTAATGCTCGTTACGAAGAAGAAAGAGTGATCTGTAATTATCTCAAAGGAAATTAGAAAAAATCTCTACTGGTGTTGTGCACACAGAAATCAAATAACGGCCTTTTGAATTCTTTGTAAACTGAATTTGTTTTTTGTTTTTTGGTGGCGGAGTTTCAGAAAATGTCTCCATCCACAGCGGGATGACGTTTTTTTTTTCCAATCGATCATCATTTTAGTCCCCAGCCCTTTCCGTCATTCCCCGATTTTCTTTCATCTTTACTATAGATCATGCATTTGTAATCACACAAAAATACACAGTCACACTCTAAGTACACATTTCCACGAACAACGTTGTGTTGAAGACTAAGTTAATGAGCTGTGAATACTGCAATAAAGGAGCTCTGCAATGGAGCCGGACTTCAAACCTCACGTGTGTGGACGTACAAACCAGTGACCTCATTATCAGCTGCACCAGACCTGACATGTCATACATTTTGTGACTTCTTTAAACAGTAACAGAGACCCTTTTTTTTAATCTACATCCGTCTAACCCGATAACTCAACCTCCTTCTTAGTTTCCCATTTCCCTTTTCTCTCTCTTCACCAAATTACATTGCATTCCCTGCTTTCCCTGCTGTGTGTCTACTTGCAATGATCCCACTGGACAACTTACTGTGGCATTCTTCACAACTTAAAACATGAGGACTGTTTGCTTTCGTGGCACTGTGGAGGAAATAGTTAAGCATTATAAGGTGTTGATTAAAGAAATCTAGTTTCTGTGTAAGCTGATAAAAATTCATTACAAATAATGGGCCGGTTTCCATTTATTTTTCCAACAAAAATATAAAAGGATGAAGGAAAATGGGATAATATATGCTCATTTTCTTTTCTTTTTTAAGCAATAACTGTTACAGCTCTACTCCATACATTAAAAGAGAAATATTAATATGAAGATTTTCTTGGTTGTAACTCATATGCTGCTCTGTATCTACTAAAAGAAAACATGACATGTACTACCTGATGTGCAAACACTCATTTACAGTAGTTACTAATGCACAGTTGGAAGCCAGACTGAGGTACGCAAACTCTACAGGGAGAACCAGTGCAGGCTATTTAAAAATAGAGCTTTTTAGGTCTATTGTTCAGAGTTTTTCCAGTAGGATGAAAAATCCAAATATGTAGTGTGTGATATTCCCACCGGAAATTCCCAAGTAAATTAAAAGACTTAATATGGAAAAAAAAGCAAAGCCCTCAAACTAGTTTCCTCCACAGACCTCCCCCCCCCCACCACCACCACTTCCACCCCCATCCCGAATAGCGCACAGTGCCTTTCGTCCCCCTTTGTCTCACATTCATTATCATAACCATATGCTGCAAACAACACTGCCAATAGTCCTCAGCTTATTTTGCTGCAGAAATTCCTTATCAACGTTTTTCAAGAATACACCTGCTAATCCTTCACTCTTTTTCTAAATAACTGCCTCCCTGTGACGGCCTCTTTAGAATTCCACACACAGCTTCAGACTTGCTTTCACCATCAAGAGCACGTTCGTAACTCCTCTGTTTTCACATTCTGTAACCAGTCGACACCTCACTTTACCTTTCGAATTAGACACAAATGCCGACGAATACATTCGGAATATCGTTCTAGTTTTGCATCCACATTGACTCACATTTCTCCTCCTGGTAAAGCGTGGGACTCGCTGCTGTCAGTGTTTGTTGGGGCTATTCACACACATTCACTTTGATGGAACATTGTGGTGACATGTTTTCTCCCCAAAGCAGTATACTAGAAAAGACAGTACCCACCAGCGTCCACCACCGACTTAACTTGACAGTTTCCATTTTAAAGTCTCAACTTCCACCAGGCCAGTGCATATTTTTGATTCATTGCCTCGGTTAATCAAATATCGGCCAATTGGTATAAAATAAAATAAGATCAGCTAATCATTTAACTTCATCTTCTCCAAGTCAGTATAAGATTTCCCAGAAATTCAGCCACATCCATTTCTTAAATGCGTGCAACAGACTAATGTCAGTGAGAATGGTTCACAAGACAGATGAGGTATCACTTGTTCACATATCAAGGACACAGTGTTATGCTCCGTCTGAAGGACACAGAGAGGTAACCCACAGTTCCTCCATCTATTCCATGTATTAGCACTCATTCACAAAGCGATTCTTCCAGTCCGTCCACTCGCAAGGGGTTAAAGCACAGTCACACCAAGACATTCACTCAGACAACTCCATTTTTAGGGCAATTCTTCCAAGGTGATTTGATAAAGCTAGTGAGTGGATAAGCTGCCAGACATCCCCGGAATAACAAGTGCTCCAGCTCAGGGGCACTCTCGCTTTGATGTCGAGCTTCAAACCTGGCTTTATGCTGACAGCAGATGCTGAGTGAAGTATAATTTACTGCTTCTCCTCAGGTGTCTGAACTCAGATCCACCCTGAGTTTAACTTGTGTCCAGCGTGGACTTTAATGAGCCGGTGCAATGATCTATTGTCACGTGGTGGAAATCACAGGGTGGAGAACGTGGTGTTTACATCCAATCGCTCACTTTTTCAACGAAAAGGACATTTTGGGTTTTGAATTGAGACGTTCTTTAAGATATGATATCAAGCATATTATTTAAAAAGTGTTTTTGAAAATCTCTTTAATGTTTTCAGACTCTTTTTCTAAGAGAAGGATGGTTTTGTAAGTGAGCTTTAGAAAAATGAATCATCATTTAGCTCAGACCTCCTGAACTTGACTTGATTATTTAGCATATCAGGATCACCTTTGTTATTGGGGAGGTATTGGTTTTTTTTATATAATTCAATTTGTCTTAGGTATAATTGACAGACCTCCCTCTCTGTTGTCATTGATTGTAGTTTTTATCATGATAGAACAAGTAACACTTTTTTAACTACTTTTAACTACCTTTATATTAATTTGTCTTCTAACTTTCACACATACACATGGTTGATTTTAGCGTCCTCACCCAAACTTTCTCCTCTCTGAGCTGTTTGGTCTCTTTTTGAGCTTTAGCAGATCCTGCTGCTAGGCAGGGGGTGGGTGGAGAGCCAAGAGAGCCACACCGTTACCAACTTTTGGGGCTCAACAGGGGGCTCATTGGTGAGGATTATGATGCCGAGTGGTGGTGAAATTGTGTGTGTTGAATATTAAGTGTTATTGAGCAAACGCTGGGGAGGTATGTGAGAGGAGAGGGCATTTTTAGAGATATTCAGAAACTTAAGGCAGGAAAATGACAGAATATTTGCATGACAGTCACAAGGGCGAGACGGACAGGGGATGGGAGTGATGTTCTGGCTTTAGACCTGGGCTTTCTTTCTTGTTTTTTAAAGTGTGTGTGTGTGTGTGTGTGTGTGTGTGTGTGTGTGTGTGTGTGTGTG